TCTAGCCCCAGGAACATCATCTTTGTGGAGCCAGTGGCTTGAAGCAGAATGCATGCTATGGTCAGGCGTGGGTTTAATCCTGTGTGATTATTTGGTTCCCCTTAGTCTCATCTGGATGTGTCATTGATTTTGTGGCATGATTTGGCGAGGAAAGGGCTGAAGTAGCAACAAGTTGATGTTTAGGAATGAGGTGCGCTGGGAACTGGAATTCGCACAAATCCTGCTGTCACTCAGTGCAGACTGAATTCAAGCAACCTGCCACTCACTTCCATGAGCACCACATGTTTCTACAAATAGAAAAGAAATAACTGGAGGGATTTTAAAAGCAGCAGCAGTCCCTAGATCAATGGAGTTGCCCGAAAGCCCTGTAAGCCAAACAGCGGTCCTCAACGTCCTACCAGTCAAAACCAGGCCCTCATAGATTTAATGAGAGTTTCCTGAGCATACAGCCCTGCTGAATAAGATAGCAATGTATCTGGCTGCAATTAGTCCACATCTATAAAACTGTCTGCGGTGCGACTGTACATAGTGGGGACTGGGCTGGGAAAATGTCTGCTGAGCATTTGGCAGGAATGCAAGATTACCACTGGCTAGAATCACACCCGCAAACAAACCCGATAAGACAATTAAGCTCAGAAACTCTGGCTTTTACAACACTGTAAAAATTATTTTAAAAATGGTGATATGCTCAATGTGAAAGCAGCGGAGCTATTAGACAGCAGACGTACAGCATGGCTGGGAGCGACAGCGGGAGAAAAACATCCTTGGCTTCCCAACTTCCTGGAGACAGTCTGCTCGGGTTAACAATGAGAAACGTGGACAAGAAGCAGTCTCAGAAGAGCCCCATAAAGTGATGCCTGCCTGTGTCTGTAGTCTGAGTGCAAAGAGGTGGAAGGAAGGGAAGACAGAGAAGCAGAGTAAATTCAAGCCTGGTTTAAATCCAGGTTTGCAGCAAGCTCTGCACGTCCTGTCTTCCAAACAACTCTAAGGAGGCAGGCATGGAAATGAGAAATACGGAGCAGGGGGAGAGGTAGCCCTGCAAAAAGCAACAGGAGAGTCAGAGAGACCACAGGGTGCCCGAATTTTCAGTGAAGAAGGGGATCAAGAACTATTGCAAAGCTCCGCGTCAGTGGTGGAATGGGAATGACTGTGGGAGGAAAGTACCCCAGTGCACCCCACAACCAGAAAGCTAGAAGGACAGGGAAAACCGGTGGGGAATCAACGGAGAGCGGAAAGGGCAGTGAATGCATGAGATAGTTGGCGAGACGGTGGCTGGAATTCCTCAGGCTGCACGATGAAGTTATGAAACATATTTGAAGGTGTCACATGGTCCTCCCCGTGATGGGGGAAGAATGTACATATCAGGATGTAGCTAAACCTCAGTGCTTCCCCTCGGGG